TTAACTAAATAGGTTTAAACTTGGACTAAGGTATAGCTATTTGAAATAAGTAGTGCAGAAAGTTTTAAGTAATGTCTGGTTTCTTTATAAAGTATAGATTTTAATACCTTATGTCTGTGATTCAGAATGTGAGATTATAGCATGTATAGACAGTAGGTGTCTATGGCTGGGAGGCAATATTTGGTCTGCAATGAAGTACAATAAAGAAAGAAAGAACATTTTTTTTTTCTTGAGAGTAGAAAAGAATATTAAATAAAATGGTATGAGGGAAAAGAAAAGCCTGGTCCCAAAATAAAAGGGCCACTGATTGAGGAGAGCCATATTACTCTTTATTGACATTAAAAAGCATTATCCCCATTATTAGGGATAATGTAATGCCACCTCATTCTTACTGTGTTTTACAATCATTACGTAAACAGGAATACGCACATAAAAATGCAGACACTGCATGGTGACTAAGCAATTTTGGAATTAATCCATAGACTAAGTCACAGCATGCGTAAATCATTTATATCTTAACTGCTCGTTCATACCTGAACAAATTTTCATTAAGCATACTAGTAGTTTTCAAATGATGTAATAAAAAATCTGGTTGCAGTATTTTTTATTTTGCTGAATTACATTTGAGAAAAAAGAAGCTAGCTGCTTCACCTTAATACTAGTAATATTCTGGATCATAAGAATACATGTATAGAAACGTAAAAGATCATAAATTTCCCATGAGGAGACATTATTTAGTCTGTGTCACTGGTGTGTATTTGCAAAACAGTTTAACATTGCAAACATCAGAAGTTTGGAGAGTGGGCACGGGAAAAGGTTTATACTCTATTACAATGATGCTGGTGTACTTCTACCAAGGCCTCTTAGTGACGTCAATCCATTGGAGGTAGGAGTTTATCAATGAATTGCTTGACATCCATCATTTCCTGATGAGGTGAATTGTGCATCATGCCTTCATAGGTTTTAAAGGTTACATTAACTAGATTTACCAATGTTTTTAGTTTTTCAGCAGTAAGAGAACCAAACATCACGGCAACTAAAGGATCGCTATCTCCATGGCACTGGAGAATAGAAATATCTCTGTTAGCGCCACAGATAGGACCCTGAAACGAAGCCCGAAGTGGAAGCCAGCAGCTGAGTGCAGTGACACCTGCCAGTTTCTGCTGGGTGGTAAGAGCGGTATATAAAGACAAAGCTCCTCCCTGAGAAAATCCTCCCAAAATAATTCTGTTAGAAGGAATGCCATTCTTCACCTCTTGATCTATCAAAGCCTTTATACATTCTGTTGCATGTTTAATTCCAGGTTCATCTTCCTGTGAATCTGGTGAAAGCCCAATAATATCAAACCAAGTAGGCATAGCCATGTTCATATTTAATGTAACAGGCCTAACTGGCCCATGTGGGCAGATATATTTGACATGTGAATTTCCGATACCTGCAAAGGCTTCTGCCCATCCATGCCCGGTATCCCTCAGACCATGAAGGAAAATCACCGCAGCAGTGGCCTTCCGGGCGGCAGGCCCGATGGCAGGCAGCGGAGCAGACATGATGTCGCCGCACACACGAAGGCTCCGCAGACTGAGGGAGCGGAAAGGAGAGCGGTCGCCCGCCGCGGCCCAAGGGCGTGCGAGCTGCGAGTCCCGGCCTGCCCCACCGGGCGCGCGCTCGGGCCTCAATGATTACATTTTTGTGCAATGAGCAACTAGACCTAAACTGAAACTCCCTGTGGTTTCAACAAGAAACTAAATATTGCCTCCAGATTGCTATACCTGTCTCAAGCCGACCTTTCAACTGAGAGGTGGTCAAAGCACCTACAAGTACAGAGAGCTGAGACTTCATGGAGTTTACAGGTTATGTGAACTGTTTTTACGCCCACTTGCTCATAAAGTTTACCTAGCAAGTGCCTCTGTGTGTGTGGCAGAACTCTATCTGAAATCAGCTCTCATTATAATCCAGTAACAAGATTATAGGGAAGTAGTCTACTCTTCCACCTCCTAACTTTTGGCAGCTAAAGAGTCTACCAGAAAGAATGTCATAGCTGTGCACAAGTAAACTGCCTTGGCCAGTTCTCAATACCATGGGAATGATGAAAGCCAAGGCACGGACGGTCACCGAGCCTGCACTGAGGTGTCAGCCTCTGCACTGAGGGGACCTCTACAGGCTGTCACCCCAGTCTCCATTCTGAACTCCCTTATTGGACCTGGTTCTGACCATTGTTTCTGCACTCACCCTTGACCTGGACCTTTTGCCTCTCTGCCAGCCCCTTCGATT